TGGTGCATGGTGCCACAGTCGGTGTTGGTGGTGCTAGTCTTGGTGCTGTTTGTGGTGCTAGTCCGGTCTTGGTCTTCGGTGCCATGGTCTTGATCGTGGTGCTTATTGTGGTGCTTGGTCCTGGTCTTGGTCTTGGTGCCATGGTCTTGATCGTGGTGCTTATGGTGGTCTTGGTCCTGGTCTTGGTCTTGGTGCCATTGTCTTGATCGTGGTGCCTATGGTGGTCTTGGTCTTGGTGAGTTCTGCAGCGCGGTCGGATTTAGGCTAGTGCATGGTGCCACGGTCAGTGTTGGTGGTGCTAGTCTTGGTCTTATTTGTGGTGCTAGTCTCAGGTCTTGGTCTTGGTGCCATGGTCTTGATCGTGGTGCTTATTGTGGTGCTTGGTCCTGGTCTTGGTCTTGGTGCCATGGTCTTGATCGTGGTGCTTATGGTGGTCTTGGTCCTGGTCTTGGTCTTGGTGCCATTGTCTTGATCGTGGTGCTTATGGTGGTCTTTGGTCCTGGTGAGTTCTACGTGCGGTCGATTTGGTTGCAGTGCATGGTGCCACTGGTCGGTGTTGGTGGTGCTAGTCTTGGTGTCGTTGTGGTGCTAGTCCAGGTCTTGGTCTTGGTGCCATGGTCTTGATCGTGGTGCTTATTGTGGTCTTTGGTCCTGGTCTTGGTCTTGGTGCCATGGTGCTTGATCGTGGTGCTTATGGTGGTCTTGGTCCTGGTCTTGGTCTTGGTGCCATTGTCTTGATCGTGGTGCCTATGGTGGTCTTGGTCCTGGTGAGTTCTACAGCGCGGTCAGATTTAGGCAGTGCATGGTGCCACGATCGGTGTTGGTGGTGCTTAGTCTTGGTGCTTATTTGTGGTGCTAGTCCAGTCTTGAGTCTTTGGTGCCATGGTCTTGATCGTGGTGCTTATTGTGGTCTTGGTCCTGGTCTTGGTCTTTGGTGCCATGGTCTTGATCGTGGTGCTTATGGTGGTCTTGGTCCTGGTCTTGGTCTTGGTGCCATTGTCTTGATCGTGGTGCCTATGGTGGTCTTGGTCCTGGTGAGTTCTGCGGCGCGGTCGGATTTAGGTCGGTGCATGGTGCCACGGTCAGTGTTGGTGGTGCTAGTCTTGGTGCTTGTTGTGGTGCTAGTCCGGTCTTGGTCTTGGTGCCATGGTCTTGATCATGGTGCTTATTGTGGTCTTGGTCTTGGTCTTGGTCTTGGTGCCATGGTCGTGATCGTGGTGCTTATGGTGGTCTTGGTCCTGGTCTTGGTCTTGGTGCCATTGTCTTGATCGTGGTGCTTATGGTGGTCTTGGTCCTGGTGAGTTCTGCAGCTTGCGATCAGATTTGGGTGGTGCATGGTGCCACGGTCGGTGTTGGTGGTGCTAGTCTTGGTGCTTGTTTGTGGTGCTAGTCCGGTCTTGGTCTTTGGTGCCATGGTCTTGATCGTGGTGCTTATTGTGGTCTTGGTCCTGGTCTTGGTCTTGGTGCCATGGTCTTGATCGTGGTGCTTATGGTGGTCTTGGTCTTGGTCTTGGTGCTTTGGTGCCATTGTCTTGATCGTGGTGCCTATGGTGGTCTTTAGTCCTGGTGAGTTCTACAGCACGATCGGATTTAGGTGAGTGCATGGTGCCAGCGGTCGGTGTTGGTGGTGCTAGTCTTGGTGCGTTGTGGTGCTAGTCCGGTCTTGGTCTTGGTGCCATGGTCTTGATCGTGGTGCTTATTGTGGTCTTTGGTCCTGGTCTTGGTCTTGGTGCCATGGTGCTTGATCGTGGTGCTTATGGTGGTCTTGGTCCTGGTCTTGAGTCTTTGGTGCCATTGTGCTTTGATCGTGGTGCCTATGGTGGTCTTGGTCCTAGTGAGTTCTGCAGACGTCGATTGATTTGGTGGTGCATGGTGCCACGGTCAGTGTTGGTGGTGCTAGTCTTGGTGCTTATTTGTGGTGCTAGTCGGTCTTGGTCTTGGTGCCATGGTCTTGCATCGTGGTGCTTATTGTGGTCTTGGTCCTGGTCTTGGTGCTTGGTGCCATGGTCTTGATCGTGGTGCTTATGGTGGTGCTTTGGTCCTGGTCTTGGTCTTGGTGCCATTGTCTTGATCGTGGTGCTTATGGTGGTCTTTGGTCCTGGTGAGTTCTACGCTTGCGGTCGATTTGGTACGGTGCATGGTGCCACGGTCGGTGTTGGTGGTGCTAGTCTTGGTGCATGCTTGTGGTGCTAGTCCGGTCTTGGTGCTTTGGTGCCATGGTCTTGATCGTGGTGCTTATTGTGGTCTTGGTCCTGGTCTTGGTCTTTGGTGCCATGGTCTTGATCGTGGTGCTTATGGTGGTGCTTGGTCCTGGTCTTGGTCTTGGTGCCATTGTCTTGATCAGTGGTGCCTATGGTGGTCTTTGGTCCTGGTGAGTTCTACAGCACGGTCAGATTTAGGTTGGTGCATGGTGCCATGATCAGTGTTGGTGGTGCTAGTCTTGGTGCTGTTGTGGTGCTAGTCCGGTCTTGGTCGTTGGTGCCATGGTCTTGATCGTGGTGCTTATTGTGGTCTTGGTCACTGGTCTTGGTCGTTGGTGCCATGGTCTTGATCGTGGTGCTTATGGTGGTCTTGGTCCTGGTCTTGGTGCTTGGTGCCATTGTCTTGTCGTGGTGCTTATGGTGGTCTTGGTCCTGGTGAGTTCTACGACGCTGATCAGATTTAGGCTGGTGCATGGTGCCACGGTCAGTGTTAGTGGTGCTAGTCTTGGTGCGTTGTGGTGCTAGTCCGGTCTTGGTCTTTGGTGCCATGGTCGTCGATCGTGGTGCTTATTGTGGTCTTGCAGTCCTGGTCTTGGTCTTGGTGCCATGGTCTTGATCGTGGTGCTTATGGTGGTCTTGGTCCTGGTCTTGGTCTTTGGTGCCATTGTCGTCTGATCTTGTCGATGTCCTATCGGGTGGGTCTTAAGGTCGTTGGTTTCGGCCAGTTTGGTGCATGGTGCCACGGTCGGTGTATGGTGATGCTAGTCTTGGTGTATGTGTGGTGCTAGTCCTGGTCTTGGTCTTTGGTGCCATGGTCGCGGTCGTGGTGCTTATTGTGCTGGTCCTGGTCTTGGTCTTGGTGCTATGGTGCTCATGTAGTGCTTGATCGTGGTCTTGGTGTCTGGTGCTATAGTCTTGGTAGCGGTCATGATGTGGTGCTGATGCATGGTGCCCGTCAGTGAGTCTTGATGCATGGTCTTGGTGCGTTGTGGCTGCTAGTGCAGTCTTAGATCGTCGGTGCCTGGTGGTGCTATAGTCATGGTGTAGTTGCTCGGTCTATGGTCCGGTCATTGGTGCTTGGTGCCATGGTGGTCTTGGTCGTAGTCTTAGTGTGTGGTGCTTGGTACTGTTGTGGTGCGTATGGTGCCGTTGTCTTATAGTCTTTCGGTGCCATGGTCGAGTCGTGGTGCTCATTGTGGTCGATTGGTGCGGTCATGAGTGGTCTTGGTGCCATGGTCGAGTTCGATGGCGCGATGGTGACTAGTCTTGGTGCTGTCTTGGCTGGTGCTAGTCTGTCAGTTATTCTGTGGTGCCGTCCGGTCTTGGATCGGTGCGTGCTGATGCGAGTGCGGTCTGGTGCTGGTCATTGGTGCACGATCGGTGGTGGTGCTAGTCTTGGTGGCATGTCTTGGTCCTGGTCTTGAGTCTTGTGGTGCCATGGTCTTGTCGTGGTGCTTATGGTGGTCTTGGTCTTGGTCTTGGTGCTTGGTGCCATTGTCTTGATCGTCTATGGTGCTCTATGGTTGGTGCCATTGTCTTGGTGTGGTTCTATGTGCATCCTGGTGAGCTCTGGCTTGGCTGCATGGTGCCACGGTCGGTGTTGGTGGTGCTAGTCTTGGTCTGTTGTGGTGCTAGTCCGGTCTTGGTCTTTGGTGCCATGGTCTTGATCGTGGTGCTTATTGTGGTCTTTGGTCCTGGTCTTGGTCTTGGTGCCATGGTCTTGATCGTGGTGCTTATGGTGGTCTTGGTCCTGGTCTTGGTCTTGGTGCCATTGTCTTGATCGTGGTGCCTATGGTGGTCTTGGTCCTGGTGAGTTCTCTAGCATGCGGTCGATTTGGGCGGTGCATGGTGCCACGAGTCGGTGTTGGTGGTGCTAGTCTTGGTGCGTATTTGTGGTGCTAGTCCGGTCTTGGTGCTTGGTGCCATGGTCTTGATCGTGGTGCTTATTGTGGTGCTTGGTCTGGTCTTGGTCTTGGTGCCATGGTGCTTGATCGTGGTGCTTATGGTGGTCTTGGTCCTGGTCTTGGTCTTGGTGCCATTGTCTTGATCGTGGTGCCTATGGTGGTCTTGGTCCTGGTGAGTTCTACAGCACGGTCAGATTTGGTAGGTGCATGGTGCCACGGTCAGTGTTGGTGGTGCTAGTCTTGGTGTCATTTGTGGTGCTAGTCCGGTCTTGGTGCTTGGTGCCATGGTCTTGATCGTGGTGCTTATTGTGGTCTTGGTCCTGGTCTTGGTCTTGGTGCCATGGTCTTGATCGTGGTGCTTATGGTGGTGCTTGGTCCTGGTCTTGGTGCTTGGTGCCATTGTCTTGATCGTGGTGCCTATGGTGGTCTTGGTCCTGGTGAGTTCTACAGCGCGATTGATTTGGGTCGGTGCATGGTGCCTGCGATCAGTGTTGGTGGTGCTAGTCTTGGTGTGATTGTGGTGCTAGTCAGGTCTTGAGTCTTTGGTGCCATGGTCTTGATCGTGGTGCTTATTGTGGTGCTTGGTCCTGGTCTTGGTCTTGGTGCCATGGTGCTTGATCGTGGTGCTTATGGTGGTCTTGGTCCTGGTCTTGGTCTTTGGTGCCATTGTCTTGATCGTGGTGCCTATGGTGGTCTTGGTCCTGGTGAGTTCTCTAGCTGCGGTCGGTTTGGTTGGTGCATGGTGCCACGGTCGGTGTTAGGTGGTGCTAGTCTTGGTCTTGTTTGTGGTGCTAGTCCGGTCTTGGTCTTGGTGCCATGGTCTTGATCGTGGTGCTTATTGTGGTCTTGGTCCTGGTCTTGGTCTTTGGTGCCATGGTCGCGATCGTGGTGCTTATGGTGGTCTTGGTCCTGGTCTTGGTCGTTGGTGCCATTGTCTTCGTCGTGGTGCCTATGGTGGTCTTGGTCCTGGTGAGTTCTGCAGCGCGGTCGGTTTAGGCTGGTGCATGGTGCCACGGTCGGTGTTGGTGGTGCTAGTCTTGGTGCTGTTTGTGGTGCTAGTCCGGTCTTGGTCTTTGGTGCCATGGTGCTTGATCGTGGTGCTTATTGTGGTCTTGGTCCTGGTCTTGGTGCTTGGTGCCATGGTGCTGATCGTGGTGCTTATGGTGGTGCTGGTCCTGGTCTTGGTGCTGGTGCCATTGTGCTGATCGTGGTGCCTATGGTGGTGCTGGTCCTGGTGAGTTCTCTGGCACGGTCAGATTTGGCTGGTGCATGGTGCCACGGTCAGTGTTGGTGGTGCTAGTCTTGGTGCGCTGTGGTGCTAGTCCCGGTCTTGGTGCTGGTGCCATGGTGCTGATCGTGGTGCTTATTGTGGTGCTGGTCCTGGTCTTGGTGCTGGTGCCATGGTGCTTGATCGTGGTGCTTATGGTGGTCTTTGGTCCTGGTCTTGGTGCTTGGTGCCATTGTCTTGATCGTGGTGCCTATGGTGGTGCTTGAGTCTGGTGAGTTCTACAGCTACGGTCGGATTTGGTGCGGTGCATGGTGCCACGGTCGGTGTTGGTGGTGCTAGTCTTGGTGCTTGTTTGTGGTGCTAGTCCGGTCTTGGTCTTGGTGCCATGGTCTTGATCGTGGTGCTTATTGTGGTCTTGGTCCTGGTCTTGGTCTTGGTGCCATGGTCTTGATCGTGGTGCTTATGGTGGTCTTGGTCCTGGTCTTGGTCTTGGTGCCATTGTCTTGATCGTGGTGCCTATGGTGGTCTTGGTCCTGGTGAGTTCTACGGCACGGTCGATTTGGGTAGTGCATGGTGCCACGATCGGTGTTGGTGGTGCTAGTCTTGGTGCTTGTTGTGGTGCTAGTCAGGTCTTGGTCTTGGTGCCATGGTGTTGATCGTGGTGCTTATTGTGGTGCTTGGTCCTGGTCTTGGTCTTGGTGCCATGGTCTTGATCGTGGTGCTTATGGTGGTGCTTGGTCCTGGTCTTGGTCTTGGTGCCATTGTCTTGATCGTGGTGCACTATGGTGGTCTTTGGTCTGGTGAGTTCTGCTGCGCGGTCAGATTTGGCATGGTGCATGGTGCCGCGGTCAGTGTTGGTGGTGCTAGTCTTGGTGCTGTTGTGGTGCTAGTCCGGTCTTGGTCTTGGTGCCATGGTCTTGATCGTGGTGCTTATTGTGGTGTTGGTCCTGGTCTTGGTGTTGGTGCCATGGTGCTTGATCGTGGTGCTTATGGTGGTGCTTGGTCCTGGTCTTGGTCTTGGTGCCATTGTCTTGATCGTGGTGCCTATGGTGGTGCTTGGTCCTGGTGAGTTCTACTGCACGGTCAGATTTGGGTCGGTGCATGGTGCCACGGTCGGTGTTGGTGGTGCTAGTCTTGGTGCTTATTTGTGGTGCTAGTCCGGTCTTGGTCGTTGGTGCCATGGTCTTGATCGTGGTGCTTATTGTGGTGTTGGTCCTGGTCTTGGTCTTGGTGCCATGGTC